TCTCCGACCAGAAGTAGACCCAGGAACATGGGTGTCGCAGGGATTCTAGGCAGAATCGTCTTTTCAGGAATCTGTATGTACTCTGGCAGCTGTAACTTTTCACTGGGAAAATAAATCAAGAATTAAAATATTTTTCTTCCAGTGCATCTCCTCTGTAAGAGAGATCAGTTGGCCTTAATTATAAACTGAATTACAGCTGCAGGCAATCTTGATATTTCTTTGGGAGCTCGACTCATGAGAGTTGTGGCACCATGCTGAATTTTTTGGTCTAAAAGTTTGCGATTGTTTTGGACAGTCAATAACTTAAATGAAAAAGTATGGTCTTTGTCAGGCCATTGAATAAAAAATGTGTTGTGATGCTATTTAACTGTTTATTTAACTGATGATTAGTTTTGGTGAGTGAAGTGAAAGGGAAGTGCTAACTTCATGCAGATGAACAAGAAGAAAAAAATGAAAGTAAGTATCGGTGAAAGATGTTTCTGGCTGCCTTTCAATTCCAAACTGGGCTAATTCTACCTTCTGAAAAGAAGATAATTTCCATGTTTCTGTAATTGGGAACACATAATTGAAGTTATTTTCTCTCAGAGAGAAAAAGCTTCTTCTACAACATTTGCAAATGGACAAGAAAAATGACCACATACAGTACACTCTGAATGATGGTGCATTCATCACAGCATCATCTTCAGATGTCTTTGCAGATTTTGCGCTGTGGTTTTTACCCATTCGGGTAAAAATTTATATGTGGATGGGCAAGGTTCATGTTGGTGGCTGCACCTCACTAACTGCAGAGCTCCCTTTTCTGGGCAGCCATTACATCAGAGACAGCTGATTACCAGTGAGGTCTGGAGTAGAAAACATGCGCCAGAGAAGCACTGAAACAAGTATCAACTTTGTGTACCAAAATAATTATGCAGTGATTCCACGCGACTGCTTCTTCTGACCTGGCTTTTTAGGAACTGAACTTTAATGAGGAAGATGAGCCAGATGTTGTTGCAGCGCTTTGAGAGTGGCACAAGTGATTAACTCACTTCCTTTCATTTGTAGCATGAACATATTTTCTGCCACAGGGTTTAACCCTGGGAATGCTGGCATTTTCCTAGATGTCCCATTAACTAAGCATGCAGGACAGTGTTTCTTAATGAATGCATTTGCATCTGCCCACGTGACTGCAATCATCATGCTCTTCCCTGAGGTTGCTTGGTATTTGAAGGCAGTAGCAAGGGTCGGACTCAAGTGCTCCCACTCCCAAAGCATGGTCCCTCCTGCTGGCTTTTTGCTGACTAAGGCTCTTTTCCACGCTCATGGGTCATTTTATCATCCCTGATGTTGCTGGGATTAGCCAGACAGAGTGATGCTCAGAGGATTTGGGAGGCCATGTTGCAGTTCCCCAGCTTTGACCTGTCTGTAGCTCAGAAATATATATTTGTGTGCATCAAGGCATCATGGAGAAAAGAGAATGCATGACGATAACTGTGGTAGATTAGACAGCAAATTGGATTTCTAGACAGCCTTGATCATTGTACAGATCAGGAGAAAATAGAGGAAGTTTAATAACAACAACACAACTCTGTTTTGTAAGGAAAGCCAGAGTTATATTTTTTCCCTGACCTAACAAAGGAGGAGGAAGGAAACCGTTTTGCTGAAACAAGCATTTTAGATTGGACTAAGGATACACTTTTCTCTCTACGTTTGTGTGCGTGCGTGTCCCAGCAAATTCAACAGCATGTTCATATGCATGAAATGCATTTTCCTGGAGGCCCATAGTCAGCATGTGCCATGCGAGGAGGAAAAAGATGTGCCTAGCACTGCTTAAATGTTGGTCAGAAAGGCATAGCATTTTAGTAAAAATAAGTTAAAGCGTCTCATAACATTGTGGTTGGTATTTGTTATTTTTGCTGACATTGGGTACTGGATAAGAAATCTGCCTGGTTTGGAAAAGTGCAATGTAGATAAAATACGAGAGCAGCCTATTTATTGTGTGTATGAGGCAACGTGGCCTCCAAAACCAGAGAAAGTCAGACAGAACTGAAAATCTGCAGATTTTGGTCTTTCATTTTAAATGGCACAGCCCAAGTCCTTACTGAAGCGGGCACAAGCGGGCCCCCGATTGGGAGGTGTCAGAAGCCGGCATGGAAGAGACGGAGAGGCATCATACCCTGCCTGCCCAGAGTGTCCTGCCGAAGCCTGTCTGGCAGTGGCCTGCAGATGCAGTGGCTTTAGGTCAGAGAGTGGCTGGTGCAGGTCTGCAACGCTGAGTCCAGCCCTGGCGGGCTGCGTGCGAGGCTGAAGATGTGGGGCTCCCAACAGCCTGGCCTTAGAGCCCACGTGTGGTGATGGGCAAATCGCTTCAGCTCCATGCATCTCGCTTCCCTTTTCTGTGAACAGACAGCAGCTTGTGCTTTCTGTTTTGGTCCATTTATATTATAGTCCATTTATATTATAAGGCCCGAGGGTAAAAGCAGTGTTTCAGATTATGTGTTGACAGAGCCCAGCAGCAAGGCTGGAGCATGGCGCTTCCACGCGTTCGTGCCGCACCGGTGATTGCTAACGGGGGAAATACAGGGATGGGGGCCATCATCAGCTTTATGATGTACTGTCTTCTCCGTGCAAAGTTTAGGGAAGAAGTCTCATTCGATGGGGTGGCAATGGTCATTCCTTTCTGCATGGAAACTGAAATAGGTACAAGAGATGGAATAATATTTTAAGAGGCTCAGTTGCCAGATTGATTTCTCAAACTAATAAAACCTTGGCTGCACTTGCTGTGTTAAAATACATGTTCAGACGAGATTCATGATCAGCTCTTAGGAACAAGAGAGCAGAGGAAAAAAATAGGTTGTTCCAAGATTAAATGCTTTATATTTGGCACCTTTAATTGGCTTATTAATAAACTTTTTTTTTTAGGGTTATGCTATTTATTTTATTTCTAATGAAATAGTTGTCAACTAGCCTTCTAAAAACAGCCACAAAGCACTGGCCAAGGACGTCTGGGTGTGCTGGGTCAAGTACCTGGCTCTGAAACTCCTAGTCTTATGAGTGGCCTTATCCCCACCAAAATGATATATCCCACAGAGGTGGCACTTATGCGACTTAGAAAGCAAATGCGAGTCCTGTGCACCATACAGGCCTGTCTCCCCATATGAAAAAATAAGTCATGGTAACCCAAACACATCAGCGTGGTTGCATTTGTACAATAGATTGTACTGAGCTGTGTGTAGATGTTCAGGATTTCCAGATGTTCAACAGTTTCCTCGGAACAACTGCTAGACATCCAGAAATCCTGGACAAATCCACAAAATCCATGAATATTGCTCAGAAAAAAAATCCCTGAGCAGAAAAAGAAAACGTCTCTGGGAAAACCTGAATGTATGGTAGGACCAATCTATATTCTCAGTCAGGGAGGCTGAATGTACAGCAAATAGACCTCGCACAGCCCTCCAGGGAAATTCATCCAGCCTGGGGCTTATTCCAGGTGCCCTTTCTTCCAGGGGACCGTGCCACTCATCTCCCTTGTGCTCTGCTGCTGCTCTGTTAGAGAGCGATTGGTGGGCAGGCAGCGGGCGCAACTGCCGTATTGTGTGTGCACGGCAAATCCAGCACTTCCAGGGAGTGCAGTCATGCTGCAGTGCTCATGGGTGCAGCGCCTGTGAGACAGATCAGGTCAACAAGCGAGAGAGGTGATGGTGTACAGCTTAGCATGGGCCCTAGAAAAATAAATATGACAAGGTCAGGAACATGCAAGTGTTTGGTTTCTGGGAGTGGATGATTGAAGTATTATTGCTAAGCACCGTTCTGAGACCTTCTCTACATTGATTGATGTCTCATTTGAAATCTCCTTCTTGCCTGAAAGAAAAAAGCGTGAAAGCATTTAGTTAATTCTCTTTCAGTGCTTTAAAGCTGCTGTTCTCTGTTGAACATGACTGGCTCAGTAAAGATTCATCATGTCAGATGTAGTCTCTCTAAGCCAGATAGAGGTGGCCGGTGTATTGTTTCTCCAGTGATTTTACATTTTCTTCCCATTTAAGTAGGTATGGAGCATGGAAGAATGCTTCCTTGTAGTCTAAGGCTCATAAGTTTCATATCTAAGGTCCAATCCTTGACGAAGGCAGCAATTAATCAATGAAATCACTTGCTTTACTGAAATGCTGCATTTCATAAATAAGTTAGTTTTCGCATGCAGGTCTTTCAAGAAAGCAGTGCACGCAAGGAAAGCTGGTGTCAGCGTTTTTTAATCCTGAAGTGACTAAGTTTCTCATTATGGACACCAAACTTAGCTTCTTCTAAGAAACTTCTAGGCATGAGACTATTTCTGTGCTTCTCAAAATATGCCCGTGCTTCTGCTGTTTTCCAGGGAGAAGACTCACTGAGACAGACTGCAAATACTGCATGCCAGCTGTTAGCATATGAAGGCCAAGAGGTCTCAGCTTCTAAGCACATACTAAAACCTTTGTATCCCTAGTGCTAAAAATCTGTGGACCAACTCCTGCTCTCACTAATGTTAACAGCAGGATTTGTGTCAAAACAAACAGGAAGAGAACATAACTAGAAGCTCGGGATTATCTGTCTTTGTCCATATACTCCACCACTGTAGGAATGATTGTTCTAGCATCTTTTATATTGCGTTGTTAAGTGATGGAAGCTTTTGCCAAATACAAACTGAAATGCTTCCAAAGCCTTTTTCAGTGTTGGAAAATGTTTGTATCAAGTTATCCTTGGAATAATTTTCTCCTTTATTTATTATTATGTGCTATCCAGTAGACACCTAATTATGAGGCACAGAATACTTCTCATTGTAGGAGGATATATAGCACTTCACTGCATGTTTTTAGGAGTCCGTTTTCATTACATTAAATGAGATGTTTACTTGCATGACTCCCTTGGGTTTTAAAAAAAGCAAAAATAAGACAAAAAATGAAGTTCAACACTGAGCAGCCAATAGACCCTCTTACCATGGGTGAATGCTTTTATACCACATCACAGACTGTTTGTCCTTTTTTTTTCAGAGTGGGTATCCAAGCTCTGGACCCACATCAAGCACTCCTGCCTTCAGGCCTGAGGATGAGTTGGAACATCTGACCAAGAAAATGCTGTATGACATGGAGAATCCTCCCTCTGATGACTACTTTGGTGAGCAGTGCCACATCACAAGTGTCCATAGCCCCTTTCCGTGTTTACCAGGTTCAGTAATGGGGAGGCCTGGCAGCTACACTGTTAATGTAGTGATGTTCGTATTGATGGATTTGCTTTCCATGCTTGGGCTGAAAGTGTAATCATCCATAGGAATTCCTCTGTAATTTCAGCATAAATCTCATGCTCACTTGCTGTATGTTTATAGTCTTTCTGGTTATAACATTGAATTTTTCAATGTCTGGTTCATTTTCACACCATCTGTCCCCAGCTTCTAGGCTACCAGGCTGAATTCAGGTGCGGTGTGCTGTCTTGCCCGCCTGCCCCTTCCCTTTTCATTTCAGCTGCAAAAAACCTGGCTGTGTAAGTGTGTTCTGCTCCCAAGGCATGGATTTTCATTTCCTGTATGCTGGCATAGATGACAAGGAAATCCATTTTGAGTCAATCAGGTTGGTTTTACACAGGGACCTGTTAGCCCAGAACTGGGTCCAATAGGTACGAGGAAGACAAATCTGAACTGATTGGCTCATAACCATGTCATGTTCCTTGCCTGGAAAAAGATAAGCAGGTAATTTCCTTTTTAAGTGGTATAGAACAGAATTATCTCAGGCATCTATAGGTGTAATATATATCTTGCCTTTATATAAAACACAGGTGATATGGCGTCTGAACTCTGCATTAAAGTCAAGAGCCTTGGGCACATTTGATGCATCTTGTCTGTATGCTTAGTTTCTTACAGGCTTGGGTGATAGTGTTGTTAGGAAACAACCTGCTGTAGTTTGTAGAGTTAGACTGGTGTAGGCCATTCATTTTGTGTTCTTTAGCTTCCTTTACTTCATCATTTCTTAAAAACTTCATTTAGATTGCCCCCTAGGTCTATTCGCTATAGATTTTATTTGGACCGAAACATTGTAGGGAAGTGATTGTGCCCCTGTACTCAGCACTGGTGAGGCCACACCTCGAATACTGTGTTCAGTTTTGGGCCCCTCACTACAAGAAGGATGTTGAGATGTTGGAACGTGTCCAGAGAAGGGCAACGAGGCTGGTGAGGGGTCTGGAGAACAAGTCTTATGAGGAGCGGCTGAGGGAACGGGGGTTGTTTAGCCTGGAGAAAAGGAGGCTGAGGGGAGACCTCATCGCTCTCTACAACTACCTGACAGGAGGTTGTAGCGAGGTGGGTGTCGGTCTCTTCTCCCAAGTAACTGGCGAAAGGACGAGAGGAAATGGCCTCAAGTTGCGCCAGGGGAGGTTTAGATTGGATGTGAGGAAAAATGTCTTTACTGAAAGAGTGGTGAAACATTGGAAGAGGCTGCCCAGGGAAGTGGTTGAGTCACCATCCCTGGAAGTATTTAAAAGACGGGTAGATGAGGCGCTTAGGGACATGGTTTAGTGGGCATGGTGGTGTTGGGTTGACGGTTGGACTCTATGATCTTGGAGGTCTCTTCCAACCTTAATGATTCTATGATTCTATGATTTCTGGCTTAAAGAAACTTTTGTGGTTTGGTTTAATCAGAAAGCAGGTGGGACTGAGGTTTCACTAATGAACAAGGCTTTTGCAGTGACAAGGATCTGATTACCTGAGCAGGTCAAGACGTTCTCATCAAACAAATGTTGCCCTTGTAGATGGGGTTGATACCAGTCCCCATTCTCCATCAGTACCTTCTACCTTCTATGGTCTCCACCCTCACAGCCAAAATGTCTTCTCTATAAACATTGATAGTCATCAGATCTGAGGTGTGAGCAAGAATGACTAACTGAAGAGAGGATAACCAGAGAGCATTTTCTGTGCTGCTGCATTTGACTTCATATCTGCCCGTATCCATTTGTGTTTACTCTCTGATGTTTTAAAAGCGAAGCACCAAACAAACAAACGTAACGTGTATTTAGCCATTAGCGTGGGCAGGCAAGAGGGAGAAACCTTTCTCCCGCTCCCTTCAGGCAAATGGCTGAAGCCCTGAAGCATGAGATTTGATTACAGTAATTTTCTTAATGCAGAGCTCTGAGTGGCAGGAGCTGGTTGATGGACCAAAGCCCATCCAGTTCTCCTCATAGCCCAAGAAGGTAGGCAGGTGAACAAAGAACTTGGAGATTCACAGGATCCAAGGTCAGAAAGGACCTTGCCATTGTACTGCCTAATGTCCTACTCTCAGTTTCTCCCAGAAACATGATTGAATCATGACTTAAAAAAAAAAAAATCTAATCTTATCTTAAAGACTTCAAGCAATGGTGAGTCAACCACCTACCCTGATAAGCTGTTCTAGTGATTAATTTTCCTCACAGCTCAGAAATTGCTTCCTGAAGTGGAGCTTTAGTTTTGTTTAGCACTTGTATTTATGAAGCTGAAATGCTCGGGTTTTGCAGACTAATACTGTATCGCGAAGATGGCTCTGCTCTGTTTTGAGAGTGTGGTACATCAAAGTTTTTTCATCCAAAAGGGATGCATAGCTCAAAGGGTTGGAACATAAAGTCTCTCAACGTTAGGTCATCAGTTTGGCTTTCAGATGGGAGGTCAGACCAATGCCATGCAAATTTTTTTGACAAGAAAATGGAAAGGAGGCTCCAGAGCGTTCAGAAATTTTGCCAGTGTTGTTTATATAAGTGGTAGCATAATCAAAGATGGAATAATCATGCATGATGCAAGCTGGAAGATGAAAACCAAACACTAACCCTAGTCCTACCTTGGGCAGGTGATGTTTAATTACAAGCTGCACCTGGTTGATCTTCTAATTGCACTGAGTCTATGCCACTGAAGGTCATCTCTGAAGTGTTGTCCACTTGGCATTCTTGATGTGCAGAAGAACTGTATGCTGGGCTGAACTCCTCCTCAGCTCTCTAAGCATGCTGTGCCCTGTGCAGCCATTTGGGAGACACGGTCACAACTAACTATATACCTACCAAGAAAAACATAAAACAAAACCAGCAGTTCTGGAGCACAACTGCTTGTTATGGTTGGATAAAATCAAAGAGGTGGGCTGCCCTCATCCTCCTGAGTTTGTTCCAGCCCGAGCTACTCCCAGAGGAAGATGGTCTCTGGAGTCACAGTGGATGAGGCTTTTTGATACGGCAGTGCAGGCCGGGAGTTTTGTACTAATTCTGGCTATGTCAGAGCTAAATACCCATCTACTTGAGCTGTCAGCCAGTGCCTTTCAGTAACTTCATGCTCATGTGGAAAGAACAAATTAAGTGTGGGAGGAAAAAAAGAGTCTTTCAACTTTGGTTAACTATCTCAACCAATATCTCTGCCTTTGTTCTTTATTTGTTCAGCATGGGAGCGTGGATTGTACAAGATTCATATGGCACATTGATCAAATAATCAGAAAAAGGACAAATGGTCAGAGACATTGACTCTGATTTGCATTAAATACCTTCTGCCTGAGGTCTAAATGCCATGGTAATTGTAGCGTACCAGATAGCTGTCAGCTAATCACTTTTATTAGTTTGAATTTAGAAAACTGGATTTCAGCGTATTAAAAGTTGGTTAAGAGCAGATAGGTTTTGAATTGAGGAATCTAATTAACCTTGCTAGAAAGCTGCAAGGCGTTATATTAAGTCATGAAAATAATTTGTTGGAATAATTACATTTGAACTGTCAGGCTGGAGAAAGGTCATTTTATTTGGCCCATCAGCACTCTGGGATCTTTTCTGTAACCATCTTCCTTCTGCAGTTTCACTTGCCATATCTCTGGTTTTCGATCAAGCCATCTTGATTCTGGAGTCAGCGTGGGCAGAATGGAGCTTCCTGGGGAGGGAAGAGGAGTAGGAGCCACTAAAGTTGTCTCTTTGCCCTGGAAATGCTGGATGGTACTGCTGGCAGACCGGGTGAGCTGAGTTCAGGAGCAGGACAGCCAGCACTTCCATCAGGTGTGTGCTCACTACACCTTTCAGCAGCTTCCCTGGGTGGAAATTACTGAAGGTGGTTTCAGAGTCGGGGGAACTGTTCTGGTCAGTGATCGCTTAGGCGAGCACACACAGCTGGCAGCACGGCATGGTTCACACTGTGTTCCCGGAGAGCCCGGGTGCATGGTGAGAGCCAGAAGCAGCATGCTGGAGACACACTTTGGAGCTGCAAGATCACAGTTTGTAGCTGTTTGTTGCCTAGACTTCCCACAGCAGCACGATCCAATCACTGGGAAATCCTCTAGCTGCCATTGGCAAGGCAGTGCTTAAACATGGAAATATCATCACTAAGCATAATAATTTAAAAAAACACCGAATTTTTAGGAGTTAAACATGCATGCTGGGTGTTCTGCCTAACTTTGTTTTGTTGAAAGGCCACACTACCATACTAAGTCTAAGCACCCCAATCTTCGGTGTATGTCCCCTCCTACCCTCCTGTAGGTTATGAGGTGACTTATGAAGTGCCTTCTCCTGGGAAGTCCTTGGCAGATCAGCAAATTGAAGTCTAAACTACTCTTCCTTCTTTGCTGCTGATTCAGTTGCTGATCTGTGGTAGTTGGCTGTCTTTAATCAAATCCCTTTTTATTAGAAAGGATTCCTGAATGTGTTATGCACTGTGCAGTAGGGATGGTTTCTCTCTGTCACAGCCCTCCCCGTTGATAAATGTGCTGTTGTAGATAGGCATGTCTGATTTGTTGAAAAAAAAAGAATACTTTGTGGAGTGGAAATTGGGTAAGGTTGGGGGAGTGGAAATGAATATTTACAGGAGATTAGGATGAAACGATCAAAATTGTTTGTTGGCCACCATGGGAAATTAAAGCCCTTCATTTTGCATTAAAAAAACCAAAATCCACATACACAAAGATCACAACTGTTCTGGGCCACTGTTTCAAGTCTCATAGAAAGAAATGACTTCTGGCAGCTTATCAGTCTCTATCACCATGCAGACAGTGCTGATTAAGACTGGAAAAGTGCCATCGGGGCCCCTCATCTCCTGTTGCCCTCTGGACTATGTCCCAGCTGAGTCACTCCCCACAGCAGAGGAGTTTCCCTGACTGGTGGGAAGAAACTTCCATTGGTATTTTACCGTAAGCGCTCAAAGC